TTTTTTGCGTTTACTTCGTGAAACTGTGATATCCTGTGATACATGTTGTCATAGAATGATAGAACGCAATATCAAACAAGATTGTGATTGGTAAACAGTATTTTCGTGTGCGGAAAAAAAAAACGAACAGTATTTCCGTGGCACACAACATATAGCTAATACACTTCCAGTTATCGTGCAACGAATAATGTCCTTTCGTGTGCTTTTCCCCCCCTTTATTGAAGTTTAATAAAAACAACAGCATTTCTATAAAATTGTAAATTTCCTTACGGCATTGGTCGGTCAGACAAACACTCATACCCAATCGTGAACCATCGCACAACAGCAAATATTTGTATACAATACTAAGGGCGTCGGTCCGCTACTCACCAAATGTGCAAAATGGGAAAGAATCTCCCGCTAGAACATGGGTACAGCACCATATTTGTTTTGTCTTTTGTGCCTGTGGAGAGTAGTGGAGCGACCAGATGTGCAAAATGGGAAAGAATATTCCCCTAGAACATGGGTACACCACCATATTTTTTGTCTTTTGTATATGTGGAGAGTAGTGGAACGAGGCCCTAACTGTGATTACATCATCCGAGACTCTGTTAGTAGTGACGATGAAATGCAGGTTAGGCTCTAAGTACCATCTGAGCAAATTAGAAAGGAATGCCCCAAATTGGCAAATTATAAATTCTTGTTGGCTTATATCGATGCACTGCCGCGCACTGCACGCGGTGTTGTTAATCTTTTTGGCATTTGTCTTATATCGACGGTCCATGGCCTCCAAATTTTTACAAGAGGCTCAATCCCCTTTCTTGGATGTACTGGTAATGGTTTAACATTCTGATTTTCCTGTTTTTTTTTTTCTTTCTTTCTTTTCTTTTAGGTATGGATCACCTAGAGTTGTTGCAATCAATTCTGAATCCATGCATCAGGACTCGAAACTCATGATCTGTTGATTCTGTTTACTCACAGTCACATGCATGTAACACTCGCTCACACGGGTTCGATACGATTCTGATGTACTGGCGCACACTGCACACAATCGTTTTTGGCATTTGACTTACCGCATGGGGTGGACAAGAGAGACTGTGTAGCAGAAGTTGAGCCCAGTCGGCATCCGATTGCCGCCGGACCGATGTGCTTCTGTTTTTTCATCTCAAATTTAACCACTTTCAAATGCGTGCAAACTTGTAGCTAGAGCATGGTGTGAGTGGGATTGATTTTTTTATTTTTTTTTATTTTTTATTTTTTTTTATTTTTGTTATTAAACAGAATGGCCCCTTCTACTCTGGGGGGGGCCAGTAGTGCGGTTGCTTATCACCGGCAAGCATATTTGTACATCCGAAGAAGGAAGGGTGGACATCAGATAAGAAGAGGTGAACAGCCTAACCCTTGTGGTACTAGCCACAAGGCAAGGGGGGAGCTCCAACAAGGCGGGTCCCACCCACCCCCAAACCATGGCCTTTCTCCTGGGGCCACCCTGCTGGCCGGGAGGCTTGTTAGCATGAGTTCCATTTTCTACTTGTGTGATTGTTTTTTTTTTTTTTTTTTTTTTTTTTCCTTTTTTGTGTGATGTTTTTTTTTTTTTTTTTTTTTTCCTGTCTGTATCATTTTAGTGGATTGTTTGTTAGTCTTTGTTACATCCTCTGGCATTAGATTTCCATCGACTGTTTCAATTTCCAAATGATTTTTTCCTTCGCTTTTGGTGACGGCGTTTACAGGACTCCTCCCCTTGCGTCAATCACTATGCGTGGCGTAATGTTGTACACTACAAACGAGTATTGGCAGGTAGGGACACTGCCGTAAAGCAAAGCGCACTCTGCATGACCTTAGTGTTCGTGCTTGTTTTTGTTTTGTTTTGTTTTGTTTTGTTTTGTTTTGTTTTGTTTTATTCTTTGGGCTAGTTTGAACCTGCACAAAGTGCAGGCCCATGGGTTGGAGCCAATGTGATTGGAACCCTTGAGCGCCCTGAACAACTCTTCGAGCCTTGTGACGAACAACGAAATCATCGCCGTATCTTACTACCGCCTTCAACCGAGTAGAATGCCCGGTCATTATACCTGTATTTATGGCAACTTTCAGTCCAGATGCAGCGATCATCACCGGACGTTCTATTCGGGTGAAGACGGTAGTAAGATAACTCGGCCTTCGGCCACCTGTTGCTGAACCCACTCATTCCAACCATTCTCCATTCTGTGCAAAGCAATGTTGGTCCGTAAAGGCAATGTAACTTGCTGGCTTTGATCTATGCCTCTACTTCCAAAGCAATGTTTTTTTTCCCCCCAACAAATCCAGCGCCTTGCTGGCTGTGATCTATGCCACCACTTCCTAAGTGTCCTCAACCGGTGGCACGATATTCGAAGTGCACCAGTTTTTCATCAATTTCACATGTAGCTGATGGAAATGTTATTCGTTTACCCCTTTTTTTTTTTCTTTTTTTTTTTCAACTTTTT